TACTCCATGCTTTATCAATATAAAAGTGTATCTCTTCAGTTATTAACCTCTGTAGGCCTCATTTCAACAAGTTGCAGACCATATTAAGGTATACAACTTGATTGAACTAGTATTCCAGGGATTACTAAAAAATGAGAAGACACAATTCCAGCCCTTAAAGAGCTTGTAGTCAAGTTGGACAACCAAGGATAGATATATTTGTGAGATAGTATTTGTTGTTGTGTTAGTCTAGGTTGAGTAGATAAATGAATCCAGAGGCACTCATATATGTGTAAGAGAGAACTTTATTATCAAAAAGTAAGTATGTATCAATGAAACATCCAAGCCCAGTGCAGATTAAGTCCATAAGTCCGATTTTAGCCCATGAATTCCTCTTCAGACTCACACAGCACCTGCAATGATGCCGAACGCAGGAAGATCACAGGCCATTGGGTGGAAAATTCTGTGGGTCCAATGGCTTCAGGGTTCTGGCTGCTATCAGTGTGACTCCCTGTGGCTTGTCAACAGGGATGTGAAGCAGAGAGTCTGTCCTGCTTCCTGAGAGGAAAACAGCCAGAAGTCTCATGAGAAGGCTACGCCCACAATGAGACATCAATCAGGCTCTGACCTGATTGACAGGTTAAACCCCATCCCTATAACCTGTTTATCAAATCGACATGAAATTATGTGACTACCACAGTTATGTGTGCCACTGTGTTGATAGGACTTTAGGAGGAAACAAGTTGTTTAGAGAAGTACAAGTTGTACTTTTCAGGTTTGGAGGCACAGGAAGGTTGATGAAATGAGGCCAGAAAAGGAATCATGTAAATGACACTAGGCATAGCATTGAATGACAGGCAGAGTTTCAACAGCCAAGTCATAGTTCAAATAGAGACAGCAACATGAGTAAGAATGTGGAGAAAGCAGGGGGCATGAAAGCAAGCGTTTGGTTATGAGTAATTAAATCTGGTTGTAATATCATGTGCATTTAAAGGAACAGAGGTGAGTTGAATGAGGCGATAAGGAAAAGGATTCAATTTAATAAGAAATGAGAAACCTCACCGTCTTCTTATGGTTAAGGAGAGGTAGGTTTATTTTCTGTTGTACGCCAGTACACATTTATCAAAGAATCAGTAAACCCATAATGTCACAAATAATTATTTACTTTTCATTTCAGGTCCTACAATTCTATAGTAATTTTTAAGTGTACTGTGAAACTCTAAAAATCATTTAGACTGAACAGATGTACTTTTTCCACTGTTTTTTACCCTGATGCATCTACTTATCAAGTCTCTCCCTCCTCTGACTCTCCTACGACTTTATTTCTATTTTGTTTATTGCCCCTTTGGATTTTCCATTTCATATGGCATTATATGCATGTCCTCTCTTTGGCACCAAATGTTAAACTCAGGAGGTTGGCCTTTCCGTCAACCTATTTTCTTATACTCTGCAATACTCATTCTAAGAGCTATTCAAAGCTATACATTTAGATGAATGCATGGTTTAATTATATCTTCTTTCTAATGGAATCTCCAGTCCTGCGTTTACATGTCTTTATCTGTTCATGTTTTAAGCTATGTTCTAGTTCATATGTGGGAGATTCTGGCTACAACTATTGAAAAGAGGCTTGCAGGGCAGATGTCTTGGCCCTTTTCATACCCCTATTTAGTAACATGTAGAAGATGTAAGAACCATTATACTTCTTCATGTTCATTATGTTTTTATTATCGTAGTGATACATGTTTATTGTGAAACTTCAGGGAATTACAGATAAACAAAAGAGATAAAATTCTCTCAAAAGGCTAACCTGGGGAAAACCACTGTTACTGTTTTAAAGGAACTCCTAAAGCCAAGTCTGTGCACATGCCTTAAAGCTTTTAATACACATGGCTAATTTGCTCCTTAAAAGGACTGAACCATTTTATACTCCTTCGAGTGGTTTCAAGAATACTCTTCATTTGCATCAGCACTTTCTATAACCACTAATACTAATCCTGGCAAAATGGGTATAGGAAAATGATCCTTTGTAAATGTGCATTTTTCAAGAGAAAGAAAATAATATTCATGTGTTTTCCATTCGCATTTCCTTTGTGAATTGCCTCTTCAACTTTTTAATCTATTTGGGTGCTTCTTGCCTTTTTGTAGTGACCTTGAATAGGTGACCTTCGTTCCAGAAACATTTTCCTCACTCACTTGTTTTTATCATGTTTCCTTTTGGAGCCTCTGATCCTTAGGGAAAAGGTCAACTACATCAGATGAAAGTCCTATCTCTGATCAACTCTGTCTAGGCAGAGTGAGCCGTCCTGAGCTACGATGTCTTCTAGGAATGAATGGCAGCAAACATAAAACAACCAGTGGATACTTATTTGCTCCATGACCAATGGTTTTCAGAAATAGTGGTAAAAATAGCACTGAAAGTTTAAAAATGCCCTAATTTACTTGTGATGTCTAACTAAGAATTTAGAACTAAAAAAAAAAAAAGAATTTAGAACTAGACGACTTTCTTTTTACCCCTTAATAACATCATAACACATAACACTGGCCTAAAAAGGAACAGAATGGGAAGCCCATATTAACGATGACAAGTCAGATTTGGTAATTACAGTTATCAGTAATGTCCGTTCATCCACTATTGAGGCACTGAACTATTTCTATGGGATATGTATAGAAGTCATGTATGGCTGTGCCCTGTAAATTCAATAAAGAATGAACACTCATGTTTTTGTAACTAAGAAGTTAGCTGGAGGCAATGCTGAATTTCTTTCTTCTTGAAAAATGGAAACTATGAAGGAGAAAAAAAGGAGAAGGGAGTACAGAAGAGAAAAGAAAGGAATTATGAGTACAGAAATACTGGTTTAAAAAAAGAAGGAACATAATAACAAGCATAAACCAAGAAATGGAGACACAAGACATTGAAGAAACACATTCTTGAAAGTTGTTATACCAAAATTATCAAAATTCTGGGTAATGTTAATTTTTTAATAATTTATGGAAATGAGGCATTACACATATGAAATCGTTTCTCCCCCTGCCCCAGTGTAGTTAAGTGGGAGTCATTTTCAACCCTCAGATGGTACAAGGTAAGTTTAACGTAGGTGTCTTCCCTAGGGTATGAAGGTCAAAAGCAGTTTGCTGTTGAATTTTTTTCTTTAAAATACACGTATGCATACAGCTCAGCTAGGCGTTAGCTGTGCCACAGCTGTTTGCGGGAATTCTGAGTCCTGTCTAACTCTCCTATTATTTTCAGATGTTCCTTTACTAGCGGTAGCTTCAGAAACAAGGAGGGAAAACAGTCATTTCTAATTTTATTTGGTGCAGATAAGTAAAAGGTGCTAGGTAAGGGCCACTTTCCTGAAGGTTATTTTAAAATTCAATAGAAAGTAACTAAAACTGAAGCCTACAAGCCAACATGAAACTGGCCCAGATCTTAACCGCTTCTTGCAAGACAAACACAAGGATCTCTATTGCTCTGGGGATGGTGGTGTATCTAGCAGCAGATTAAGCAACAGATAATAATACATCAGATTTTTATTCTATCACTTCTCACTCTCTTCCAAAATGTTCCTTGCAATTTAGGATAAATGCTGAGTAAGTTTTCTTGGGTTTAGTGTTATGTACAGGAAATGGGGCACTATGACACAGTAACAGGAAAGTGTACATGTTAGGCTGTTTCAAAAATGAATTGTAACCATGTCTTAAGGTTTAATGACTATGAAGTAATTAAAACATCTAAGAATATAATGCTAAAATGAAGTTGATTTAATTTTATTAAAATAAAAATTAGGGGAAAAGGTTCCAATTAGAATAGTTCTTAAACCTTAATTTAAATAGTGTCATTTAATGTAAATAAGGTTAATTTAATAGTCTGCCAGTGATATAAAGCCTGGCTGGTCTTATTTTAATTCACTAGCAATTAAAAGTAAGTAAGGTACAAGGATAATTGTTTAGAGAGAAAAATCCAAAAGGATACAACTGTTTTTAAAAAATCAAGAATGATCACCAGAAGTCTGAAGAAAGTTGGTGAATCATGTTTTCAAACAGCCATTGAGCTGTGTGACTCACTTGATATCCTGCCTCATTGGCCTCATCCCACAGTCAACCAAAATCAGTGATGAAAATGGTACACCAAGGAAATATATCCGGAGATTCAAATTTCCATCTCTCTAGATGAGAAAGTCCAATGTGGCAGGTGTTTTAATTACAAAGAGGTTAAAAACCAGATGAGTCGTACTCCAATGAAAACAGAATCGGTCCTCCTTGAACATTTTTCTTAATGTTCTACTTTTGTGCTAGCCTGAATCTCTTCATTCCTTGATTTGAATGCCCTGATATGCAACACTTAGTTCCGTGGTCCTAGGGGAACTTTAAGCTTAATGATTTTCACCATTGTGGATCCATATTATAATCAACCTGTTTCTGGAGAGAAAGCATCTGCCTCAACTTTGGCAATACTAAACTCAAAACTCTAATGTAACGGCTTCCTAATGCCTGGCTTACTTTTCTGTATTAGATGATGGTCTTAGATTGCTTCCAGATATATTTGAAAGGAAACTAGAATTTCAACCATCTCTCTCTGCGTGTGTGTACATATATATCTGATGTACAGATATATATGTAAAATATATATTTTAAATCTGAGAATATATATTTACAAATATATATAATATATGTATATAGCTCAAGTATATATACCTAACAATAAATATAGACAGCTATTTGCTGTCTCTATCACTCAAAAAATATATATCTACAGCGAAATTACGGAAATACATCACCTCCACAAGCTCAAGGGGACCCCAAAGAGTTCAAAAGTCCAGCTAGGTAGCACCAATCCATGGAAAGATAGGTATATAAAAATCAAAATACATTTTGTGGGCTCTGAAACAGACAAATCAAGCAACACAAACTCGAGTTTGATTAAAAGACGGTCAGGCTCTCTTGGTGAAGTTTGTATCAACGGCTGACATCAAAGTGAAAAATTAAGCATAAATGGTTACCTCTTTTTCGTTCAACTGTTACAGGGTCAATTATCTACCTGTGAACATGCGCCACATGCAATACCATGACGCCACTTCTTCATAATCGGGAATGAGAAACTCGAAGCACCTGCATCCAACAGTCAGTTGGTCTATCTGCGAAAGTGCTAATAAAACATGAACCTGAGAGACAGGATCCCCAGCTCCCAGGCGACGTTGTTGTACTCCAGGGGAACCTGGGCATGAGTTGGCAGAGTCCTGTCTTGCGGAGTCCTCCGTTCCGTCCTCGCCGAGTGGGAGGGTCACACTGGGAAAGACTAATAAGGGCAGAGATGCGTCCCCCTTCCCCACTCACAGGGAGCTCACTCGGGCCACTCCTCAGCGGTGCTGCAGCCCAGCCTGGACTCCACTGCGCTTCAGGCGCCTCCGAGGGGCTCCCAGACACGGTCAAGGTAAGCGACCGGCCCTTCCGCTTCTCCTCTCTCGCGCTCACATACACACGCACACACGCCCGCTGCAGGCGCTCGACTCACGTTTCTGCTCATTGGCGTGCATCTGCTTTTCGAGACCATGTAAAACAAAACAACAACAAAACTCTGGTATGCTGCACCATGGAATGGTGTTCTGGCGGAGAAGTACTGCACACCTGCAATTACGCATTCCTCTAGGTCGCTTCGTGATGCAAAGAAACATGTTTGGCCTGGTGTGGCCACTACCCTCTGCTACCGACCAGGGGGTTAGTGGCCGTGGGGTCCCACAATGCTGGCTTTCTGCTGTCTGCGGGCGTTCTGGGTGGCTCTGCCGGGCGCGTGTGAGCGGGAAGCAGAACGGAGCCCTGCTGATGCGGGGGAGACGGGGCTCTAAATGCAGAAGGGGACGAACACCAAGCCCCCCTCCCCACCGCCCCCCATACATCCCTCGGGGCACGTGCACCAAACAAACTCTTCAGCAGCGGCCCTGTGACCCCGGGAGGGGAAGCCGGGAGACCGGAGGGTCGGGCGCTGCGTTCCGGCCCCGGGTTACCCAGTCCGACCAGCCCGTCCTCCTCCCGTGTCGCAGCTTCACGGAAGGCGCGGCCGCGGACTCGGGTCTCCCCCAGCC